TTTTGGTAGAAAAATAATGCTAGAAGATTGCAAGAGTTCTTATTCTTCTGCTTGCTATTTTTTTAAATTCTCCGTTTGCCTACACGTAACAGGTTGTGTTCCCAAGCAAAGATGGGTCCCTATATTGGACCATAACAGACCTAAAAACTGTCCAAATCCAGCAATGGTGATGGCATCCGAAATAGCAAATCTTTCTCTATCCATTGATGTAAGTTTTATTTCCATATTTGCTTTGGGTAGAAAAATAACGCTGGAAGAATGCAAGAGTTCTTGTTCTTCTGCTTGCCATTTTTTGAAATTCTCAGTTTGCCTACACGTAACAGGTTGTGTTTGAGCGCAAAGATGGGGCCATATATTGGACCATAACAGACCTGAAAACTGTCTAAATCCAGCAATCCTGGTGGCATCTTGAAGGCTACATCTTTCTCTATCCATTGATGTAAGTTTCATTTCCATATTTGCTTTTGGTAGCGAAATTACGCTGGAAGAATGCAAGAGTTCTTTTTTATTACTTGCTATTTTTTTAAATTCTCCGTTTGCCTACACGTTACAGGTTGTGTTTATTCGCAAAGAGGGGTACATATATTGGACCATAACAGACCTGAAAACTGTCCAAATCCAACAAACGTGGTGGCATCTGAAATAGCACATCTTTATCTATACATTGATGTAAGTTTTATTTCCATATTTGCTTTCTGTAGAAAAATAACGCTAGAAGTTTGCAAGAGTTCTTGTTCTTCTGCTTGCTGTTTTTTTAAATTCTCCGTTTGCCTACACGTAACAGGTTGTGTTTCCAAGCAAAGATGGGTCCCTATATTGGACCATAACAGACCTGAAAACTGTCGAAATCCAGCAATGGTGGTGGCATCTGAAAGAGCATATCTTGTTCTATCCATTGATGTAAGTTTCATTTCCATATTTGTTTTGGGTAAAAAATAACGCGGGAAGAATTCAAGAGTTCTTGTTCTTCTGCTTGCTATTTTTTGAAATTCTCCGTTTCCCTACACGTTACAGGTTGTGTTCCCAAGCAAAGAGGGGTCCATATATTGGACCATAACAGACCTGAAAAC